ATTTATAGTAAAATCCCTATTCCCTGACACAATTAGGAGTGCCAATCAAAAAAGTTCAAATGCAAGCCATTGAAAATTATATATCCCTTAAACATTTTTAAATGTTTAACATGTATCAGTATACTTTCATCAATATTTTTGATGTAGAATTAAGAATGTTCCTTAGAATATGTGTCTGTTGCTAGGAGTGTCGGTGTTTTCTTCATAACCTACATATATCCATCTTAAAGTGTGGTTTCTTAAAAAATAAAATAAAAAATAAAGTATGGTCTCTTTGTAGTGAGTGAAAACAATATATTTTTAAAGCAGTGTGCCAGGAGAACCATTTCCTCAGCGGTTGTCTTCACCATCATCTAGTGCAGTTGATATGCACAATTTACTCAAATTATGAAACCAGCACATAATCATACTCCCCACCGGGGCCACCCCGGGCATCGCTGAGGAGGGTGTAGCTATCGATGCCCAGTGTGTCCTGGGCACCGGTGAGCACGTTTTGCGGAGGGAACAGGGCACTGGCCAGGCCAGTGTGCGCTGCTTCCTCTGGCCTCCGGCTGGTGCTGCTGGGAGGGGAGTGAGCGCGCCCTCCACTCTAACTCCTGCCTTCTTTCCTTTCACACAGTCCCCTCAGGGCTGGGATTCCCAAGGACTCAAGGTTCCTAGAAAAATCCAGGAACCAGGACACCTGGATTTATTTTCTAACTTTGGCCTTGGGAAATCAAAACCTTTCTGGATCTTGATTTTGTCATAAAATGATATTGAACTAGATAACATAACCTATGGATATTTTGGTTTTTTGTTTTGTTTTTACAAAACTTGAACTGCTATGTACATTTTCTTAACTATATCCCAAATCTTTGGCCCATAATGTTACAAAAAGTTTAAATCAAACCCACGTAAATGTATTCGTCAAGCCCTGTTGGGCTACTGGACAGTGCATCTATACCTTGTGCTGGACATAGCAGATAGTATCTTTTAGTTGGCAGGGCAAAGATTACATTGCCTTTCGCAGAATTACTTCACTGTGTGTTGTGATATTTCTATGAACAAATAAAATGTCCCCTCCTTGTCTGTGATGAAAAGACTGGTGGAGGTGATGTTGGAGGACTATGATTTTCCAACAGGTTGCAAATAACTGGAATCTTCTCTTACCATACTCTCTCCTCTCAGAATTGCAGGGTCATTCTACTGTTCCCTAGAAATGCTCTCATTGTTGACAGTTCTGGGACTACGAGAGGGAAAATGTCCTATTTAGCAACATTAAGAGCACACTGCCGGTAGCCAACATTCAGCTTAGAACACTGTGTGACAGCTGACCTACCACATGACCTAGACTCATCTTCAAGTGCAAGATCATTTAAATTAGTTTAGTTTGTGCTGATTCCATAAACTGTTTTGGGCAAAAACTCCAGAAACTTGAAGAAACGAAAGATAAAGAAACACTGTGATGGGAATACAAGTGGCGGTGGCTGGCAGGAACATAGCCAGAGCTGCTGCAATTATCAACAAAGATTACCGAAAATCTATCACGTGTCGAACACTTAGAAGTAAAGATACCCCCTCTGTCTTTGAGGAATCCCATCTGCTTAGGGAGAGGAGACAAACACATGAAAAGATAGGCCATCCTCAGCGTCCTTTGAGGGTACAACTTCAAGGAGGGAGAAGTCTGGTTCAACCAGGCCAGCTTAGGAAGGATTCGGGTTGCGTGGTCAAAAGGTAGGGCCATGCACAAAAGGGACAGCCTCGCAAAACAAAATGAAAGTTTCAAAGTTTTCTTTCCTATCACAAAGGGCTAATTTTACTATATCTAAGAGCTCCACATGAGAATAGCAATATAAAAGAAAAATGGGCAAAGCATATGAACACAGTTCTCAGATGGTTTTCAAACGTAAGATGCTCAACTGAACAAGTAACAATAGGAATTTAAACCTTGAGATAATTTTCTTCCCGGAGATTGAAGAGCTGGCTAAGAGTATTGGTGAGGATTGGGAGCGAGAGCAGCCCTCCCGGCGATCGCAAGCATGGGCCGCTACACCAGCCATCAGGATGCTCTATTCTCGGCACCTCCCCTCCTAGAAATGTACCATAAAGATGTATTTACACATATACGTAATGATATATACGCAAACATACTGCTTGAGCTTTTACTCGTACCAAAAAGATGGGATCCATTTAAGCGGCCATCCATCGGAGGCTGGCTGAATAAGTTACAGGGTATCACTTTGATGTAAATACATTTTTGAAATCAAATGAGATAGGTAGAGAGATGTACAGATGACAGAAAATAGATAACATATAATCTGAGGATTCGTTAAATTAAAAAAAAATGAATGTATATGCAAGTAAAGTATGGTAGTGGAGGGCCAGTTGTGAAAGTAAAACTTAGGAGAGAAACAGTCACTGACTGCGCTACAGACCTACTCAGAGTCTCAGGGTTTTCAAATTTTCTTTATAGTTCCTCCACTTCTCCAGGTTTTTAGAATTAGGCTTGTTTTTGAAGTTGGCTCCTATTGAGTCAGGCCACCTGGCTCTGTATTTGTGCAAGTTAACATTTCAAGCCATGTGCAGACTTTCTCACCGCATGTACTCTTTTTCTCTTGATAACTGCCTTTTGGGAAGAGATCAGACCAGTCGTCTTGCAGAACATACGGCGTGAACTTACTGAATGCATCCTTGCCCCTAGTGCCATTTTTCTAAAAATTCATTCAGTATTGACTGAGCAGTATGCCCGAGTCAGGAACTGGGGCTAAAGGTGAGTAAACTAGGTTCAGACTCACACAGGGGATATATTAGGCAGGCTAAATAATTAGAAGAGGCTGTGTGTCATAAAAGACCTCTACTGGCAGTACTGAAGGCTCAGGTGCACCCCTACGGTTAGCATGTGAATGAGGGGCCGGGTGTCAACCAGGAAAAGTGACTCAAAAGAGACAGTGTTTGGACTTACACCTGCAGGGCAAATATGCACTCGGCAGGGGTATAATATAAACAAGGAGGGGCTGTTGTCTGGTAGAGGGAATTGCGTGTTCACAAAGCCCCTGTATGAAGCCCCGGGCCCCCAGCAGGTGCGTAGAGATGCACGTGAAGGTGTGGAGGGAATAAATGAGAGAGAAGTGGGATGGACCATAAGAGACCTTTTATATCAGATTAAGATGGTCTGGATTTTAGTAGGATCATATTTACATTTTAAGACAACTGATCCACTAGGCCTGGGGCAATGACTCAGGGCAAGACAAGATGATGATGGCTTCTAGTACTTTCTTGGGGACTGACATTAGGCTTTACTTCTGTAATTTCCTTTATCTTCTACTTCTCTCATTCTGTTAGACTTTTCGCAGCTCAGCAGTGAGAAACGAAGCACACTGATCAAGGAGCTAGCCCTTGGTTAACTAGACTGAAATTTACTTCTTGGTTCGTCACTAACTTCAGGAATTCTTTTTCTGTAGTTACCTTAGGACAAGTTTTTCCTCCCATAGTTATCAAATTTAGAAAAATCACTTAAGTAACAAAACAAATCACATTTGATTTATACTTTGGATACACCGGCAAGAAAAACTGAGTTCTTAGGACTTCCTAATCTCTCACTGTTGCTTTTATTGCATTGAGAAATTACACTTGATTATGCTTAGAATTTAAAACTAAACCACTTTTATTTAATAACAAATTACTTTATATTCAATTTTGTTTCAATTTCCTCAGTTTTGCCGTTTGGTATTTAATTAACCAGAAATGAGATCTGGCTTTTAGAGCTGAAAGATTAAAATATGGTCTCACTTAAGGGCATTAAATTAGACTCAGTAGTTTCACTTAGTATATTTTTTTGTAATCCTGGTTCCTTGAAAATCTGTGTATCGTTATCAGCATCCCAGCTACAGGGACAAATGCAAAGACTTCACTGTATCAGTTCTATTTCTTTAGAACCTTCCAACATCCCCTGTGATGTAGGTATTTTTAACCCCTTTCTAAGCACTAGGAAACAAGCTAGGTGAGGCATCTAGTAATGAGTGGTGGTCAAACACGTGTGACTCCAAGGTGTATGTTCTTCTCCTTAAACTCGAGTAGAAAATTCCATGTTAGTATAAACCAGCTGTTCTCAACCTGGGGGTAATGTTGCCCCCCCACCCCAGATGACATGTGGAAACATTTGGAGGCGTTTTTGGTTATCATTTCCAGGGGAGAGGGGAAGAGAGTTGCTGGCACCCAGTAGGTAGAGACCAGGCATGCTACTAACATACAATGCATAGGATGGTCCCCCACAACAGTTATCCAGCCCAAAATGTTAGAAGGGTCAAAACTGAGAAACTATATTATAAACAAAATATTCCTCAAAAAGTCGTCTTACAGATGCATTACTATCCCATCCTGTTTTTTTCTGAAATCAATGTTTAGTCAATGAAAATAGCTTTAAACCAGAAGCTGGTATGTTTAATACATATATGCACATGTACATTTTTAATGTAGCTGAAAAATGCTTTGAGTTTATACTGTAAAACACTGTGAAATGATCACAGAACTTTGGAGGTTTCAACCCCAAATATTATGTTATACACTGTCATATAAATGCAGAGTGGGGAAACATATGTAATATTTCGCATGTTTCCATTGATGTGTGATTGTTCTGATCTTTATTTTTTTGAAGTCTTTTTTAAAAAAATATGTTTTTATTGATTTCAGAGAAAGGAAGAGAGGGAGAGAGAGAAACATCAATGATGAGAGAGTCATTGATCAGCTGCGCCCTGCATGCTCCCTACTGGGGATCGAGGCTGCAACCTGGGCATGTGCCCTGAAGGAGAATTGAACTGTGATCTCCTGGTTCTTGGGTCGAGGCTCAACCACTGAGCCACACAGGCCGGGCCTGATCTTTATTCTGTTTAATAAAGGATGGGGGGGAGGAAGAATACCTTGACTCAGGAAAGCAGGGAGAAATATCATATTGAAGCTTTAGAAAGTAGACTTTTAAAAAAAGAAAGAAAAAGCGCAATAAAGCCACACCATGAGGCAGAAAACTACTTTCTTAATTTTATTTAAAAAGTACACGAGGTCACAAAACTAGAGCAAGTTCTTGCTTTTTAAATCAAATTTGTTCTTACAAATTTCAAAATCTGCACCATTGGATATTTAAGCCAGAAATTGTTAATACAAAAATCATTTTTTAAACTGACACTATCGATTCTCTTCTTGCATATGTGAAGTGTCAAAATAGTTTTCTTCCATAGTACAAGTGTATTTATTACAAAAATTCACAGTCAGGGATGAGAGTGAGTCAGTGAATTGTGGTTCTCTTAACACTTGTATTCATATTAAATGAGTTAGCAGGAGAAACACTAAGTTCTTCCTTGACTGGAGCTTTTAGTGTCAAGACCAAAACCAAACCCAGCAGACACTTTCCACACTCTTAAATTACAAAATACGGTACTTTGTAAAACTGGAATTTAATTAACAGTAATAAGCCAGATGCAGCACCAGATACTTGCTGGTGTTACTGTCCATAAGATAAAATATTTGCTGGTGTTACTATCCATGAGATAAAATATTTGCTGGTGTTACTGTCCATAAGATAAAATATTTGCTGGTGTTACTGTCCATAAGATAAACAGAACTGCAATTCACAAACTTATTTTTCTTCCCTGCTTCCATAACATTAACGAGTAGAATTTGTGCTCAGTTATGGACCATATTTTAGTGTCAAAATAGGCAAACAAGTAAAAAATCCAACTGCAGAACATGTTGCCTTTATTGCAAGACTACCCAAAGGCAATTGAAATATTAAAACTTGCCCAGATTTATACTACTAACCACAGAATATTACAGAGATTTATGTACATATATATATATAATGTATGTTGTCACAAGCCACTAAGAAGTTAAAATGGTGCCAACATTTTCTACAAACTATTCTTTACATGACACATCAAAGCATTAACCACATAATAAGGACCTTTTCTGTTCACACTGGAATAAGGCATCTGAAAGCCCTAAACACTGTGGAGGTGAAAAGAGATTAGGAAAAACTTTAAACATTCACATAACTTCAAATTTACATGCTGCACGCACAGGAAAAGACAGAGAATGGTTCTTTTGAAAAGCCATACATCATAGAATTTGATATCCAACTTCATGCAACGAGTTCTTTTTATATTTAATCAAAATGTTTACTTGCTCCTTCGCTTGCTCCTAATTTATGAAACTCAATCCTGAAAATTATCTTTTCAATAAAAATCAGATATTAATTCATACCAACAATCTAATTGTGTTTCTTGAATCAACCTCCCCTAAGACACACTCTGGCTGTATTTCCACTGTAACAACTCCATGGCAGATTGTTTTCCTTGCCCTTCTCACGGGACTATCAGAATAAAAGAACACCCGGAAACTACAGACGAAGCCCAGAACTACATCCTCGAGGTGTCACTTCTTTGCAGGTTGCCCTGTGCAACTCAACAGGACGGTGTCCAGCCTCGCGGGTGTAAAGTGGAATCAGCTGCTTTTGCCTCGAAGGTGCAGGGCTGTCCTTGACTGATGCTGTTAGGCTCTAATGGAACTGCCTGATTACCAATAACAATTCTAGAACAAGTATCCGACCTCTGGTTAACTGAAATGACCAGTGAGAATCCCGTGACAGGTCAATCAGAACTGCCTGGCTTCTGGATTAACTGACCCCTACAATGGGAGCGACTGAGGGCCGAGCCTAGCACAGAATTCCGTCCTTCAACTGTCATCAAGCCCAACAGGTCTCTTCAGGTCACACGACTGACTTTTTACCAGCTCCTTTCCCAGGATACAGGTGGTTCGGACCTGAGCTAAAAGCACTTCTGGAAGAGGTTCTGACTTGCTTATAGCTCAGCCTAGGCCGGGTAGAAAGGAAAGCCTTACATGTGTCCATTTTTGGTAGTAATTTCTACTTGAATTGACCACGTAATCTTCATTACATGAAAACTAACAGAAAGGACCAAAAGTTGTTTCTTTAAAAGTTTTTGCTGTTATTTCTTATACCGTTGTATAAATAAATGTATTCATATAAAACAGACCAGACATCTGGAGTTCAAAAATAGTTACTATTATAAAATCAGAGACACAGTCAAAGAGTGTTGAGGGTGTTGAAGTTTTAAAGTCTTTATGAATGACACTGTCTGTTAACTTGCATCCAAAAAGAATAGAGAAGAGGAGGCAGGGTGAGGAAGACAGACAGGTGTCACAGTGACGCGCTTAGGAACAGTACCTTCACCTCTAAGCACCTTCCAGGTGATAGCTAGCTCATAGGCACCAGAGAGTCATAACAAAAATTAAATTACCCAAAAGGCACAAATGAAACTGTTAACACAAGTACAAAAGTAGTATTATGAAAGGTTAAAAACCTATTTAAAAAATGCTTCTGAACATGTAAAACTATAGACTAGTCCATCACACAGACATTCAGCTTAGATTTACCATTAAAAAGTGTACACAATACTTTAACTAATTATAAATTCATGCCAACATTAACTTATAATGTGGCATGAACCACCACAGCACCCAAAGAGATGAACAGAAACCAACTCCCTACGAAATCTCGGGAACAGGTTTTAGAGCTCGTGAAATAATTTATTGCAGACTTTATTTACCCTAAAGAAACTGTTGGCTCATCCTACCATATATCCACACTCCCTCACAATCTTAAGGGAAATACAATAAATTCACTTTCTTCTACTAAAACAGTATTTAACACATTTGGCAGTTGGGAGTATTCCTTCTACTCCTTTTCCTTTCCTTCCCCCGCCCCCCTTCTTTTAAAGAATAAATCACTTTCACTAAACTAGGACTTAAACTTTTTGCAGAGCTCAGCTTGGTTTTCTGCAACTGCACAGAGACGTGCTGGCAGTGCAACAGCGACCGCGCATCCCCTCGGGTCTGGGGGACAGGGCGGCGGGCGACGCGCGCTGGCTTAAAATGTCTCGCCGTTCTGAGCCTATGAGGAAACCTCTTCAGGAACTGCACTCGGGAGGGTAGACTCAGGATTATTACATGTGTCTAGAACATATAACATGCAACACCATCCAAAAACAACAAAATGCTGAACCGGGAAAAAGTTTTTAAAATTTGGGACCAATAATTAGGGAATTTCAGTCAGTATCTGTCAAATAATAAATGAGTCATAATTTTTTCCTATTAGAAAAATATCACCTACTGCGGACAGCCAGTATTTAGTTGGGACCTGCAAGTCTCCATCCTTGCTCTGGCCGGTCACCGTTCCGAAGGTCACCACAGGCCTCCAGGGATCAGATTACTCATCACTGAGATCCACCCTCGCTACTGTTACTGCTCTATGCAGTGACAGCAAACTTCCTAAATAAACCCACAGACGCTCCTTTATTTTAGCATATAAAAGAGCTAACTAGGTCTCTGTTGACTATAGCAGCCTATCAATCAAATACTTAAGAAACAATTTCACAGGCAAGGCTTATGAATGACTTGAATGTAGAATTGCTAATTTCTAGAACACGGTAATGTTTTTATGTTATTAGAGCTATTCCAACCACACTTAGAGTTTTCCAAGAACAAACATAAAGGTATGTAAGAATTTTTGCTGTCAATACTTCTTTACCAATTTGGGGTCATAAATTAATTGAGAAAGGCATTCTAAAAATAATGGCAGAAATGACAAAATACTACTTTCAGAGGATTCAAGTATCAATTTGGTGTGCATGTAAGTTCACCAATATCTTCCCCTATGATTTCATATCCAAAGTGCTACATCTTACTAAATATTGATATTTAGAAACTTATAAAAATCTACCTCTTAAAGGAAATCTTTTTCAGATGGCGAATTTGTCTCTAGTAACTTTCATGCCTTTACTATTTTGATATAACCAAACAAAACTTTCTGAAGTATATTTCTTACAGTTTCTGATTCACTTCTTTTTGATCTATTGAGGCTGGTAGCAAATATTTAGAACAGGATAGGTTTTCGTATTTCAAAAGTAGAGAAGCGTGGAGCACAGAGATGAAAGGCACGGAGGCCCCTACACTATAGACCCGTCCTTGCTCTGTGCAGGAATCATCACGGGCACCGCGCCCATCCTACTGAGGTTAGGGGCAGCTACCTTAGCGGGCGGCAGGGTCGGACTCTGAGGCGCGCGCTCAAAATCTTCGCTTGGTACTTGGTTATACTGAGTCTTGGAATAGCCTTCCATGTTGGAAGGAGACATGGACCCCAGGGAAGAGTGGTTGCTGCCCATGTAGCTTCTGGCAGTGGACGTCCGGCTCTTTGGGGGAGGCACATCTTCCCTAGAAAGCAAAGATCCCAACACAAGGTCAAGGAACGAGTTTCTAGAAACCCACAATTGTGTAACCTATGAATCATGGCCGGGGGCTACTTAAGCATTAAGTATATAAAAGCATGTGTGACACACAAAAAAGCAAGCCCAACAAAGTGCAATGTCATTAACTGTGTATTTGTCCCTTGGCTATCATTTACAGAGGATGAATCTTCACGTGTAATGAAAGGTGGTTTTTACAAAAATGTATGATTCCATAATGTTGTCTTGGAAGGCACAAACCTCAAATCTTTTCATATCCCTGTACAACTAATCAAGATAATCTAATTACAGTCACGTAACACTTTATAGTTAATAAAGCACTAACACCTACAGATGGATTTCTACCAAAAAAGAAAAAAATCCTTTTTGTTATGAAGTTACTCATCTAAGACCTTAGCTGAAAACTTAGCAGATTCAAGTCTGCAAAAAGTAGGAGTTCAGGCAGAAGAATTTTCACAGCAAGGACTGACAGAGAATATATATCGGAGTTACCTCTGGTGCATTTAAAAAATACAAGTGCCCAAACCCCACCTCATAACCACCAAATGTCAATTTCCTGGGTGTTAGTCATGTTATTTGTTTTCAAAGTTTCAAAGTTCAATAATCAAACATACACTTCTAGTTAAGATGTACTAGTTTAGAATATTAAAAAAATATATTACCAATAGTTCTGTATACTACCTATTTCCCTTGATATAATCAGGTCTCTTTTTTAAAAAAAACCTCAACATCTGGTCCCTTTTTTTTGGAACACGTCACACCTCTACTTTATTTGGAGAAGGCAGACAGTCTTGAGATAAGACATTTTGTAGTGCTTCTTAAAATAGGGTCCAGAATTGGAGAGGGGCCGGGGGCAGGGCACAATAGAGGCTGGCTGGATCTACACACTTGATTCTGAAAAATGAAAGCTTTCAAATGTGTTGAGCTTTTATCCAGTGCTCGCAGCAGTAAATGCTTCAGGTAGTAAGAACTAATGAACTAATGCTTTAGACATCAGTCAACTCTGGTGCCACTCAATTACCTGATATCATGGTGAACTTCCTTTTCATATTTTTGCTCTCTGCGCTTTTTATGACAGCAGAAGACGATCACACAGATGAGGACCAGCGCAAGCAAAGTTCCTATAATAGCTCCTGCAATTGTTCCAGCTCTGTTGGAAGCTAGAGTAAGATGTTCATAAGAAAATAATTAATAGTGAAAAACAACAACATGCCTGGCCGGGCGTGACTCAGCGGTTGAGCATTGACCTAGGATCCAGGAGATTGAGGTTCGATTCCGGATCGGGGCACAGGCCCAGGTCACGGGCTTGATCCCCAGTCGGGGGCGTGCAGGAGGCAGCCGATCCATGACTCTCTCATCACTGATGTTTCTATCTCTCTCTCTCCCTCTCCACTCCTCTCCCTGAAATCAATAAAGATATATTTTTAAAAAAAGAAAAAAAAACACACTATACCTAGTCATATTGAAGGTAAGGATACACATGGACAGATCGATTTTATGGTATATATTAACTTTAAGAGAAAAATTAATTAGCTTTTTGGTCCCAGGGGAAAATCCACTAAAAGAACTTTCTTTTGAACTGTTTCAAGCATAAATGTGATCAAACCAGATTAAAAGATTTTAATATTCCCAGCTATCTGAGCTGGCATATAAGAATGTTGCAAAGGGCTTGCCCTTATAAAGGCTAAGTACAGTATAAGAGCTGATTTGACAACTCTTATCTTCTTAATGTTGCTACAATAATTGAGGTTTTGTTAATAAAATGTAATTTTTCCTTTCTGTGGCTTAGGAAAGCTAATAACTAAGCCACGGAGTGCTCTGCTCAGTTCACATCCACTTGCCCTCCACACGTGCTTGCTGACTGAACCAGAGGGGGCTGCTGAAGGTAACGGGAGCAAAAATGATCACAGCAGGCAGAGAAGACACTCACGGGGAACGACGTCCAGGCGCAGCAGACACTGGTCAGACCCCACTCTGTTGCTGACTGTACACTTGTACATCCCGGAGTACTCAGTAGTGGCATTTTTTATAGATATAACAGGTGACGTCATTTCTATGAAAAGAAAGATGGAGCAGAGCAAAACCATTTTTATAGAATTGCTGAGTTTTTAGTAAAGGCAAATCCTACTAAGATTGACAATCTGGGTAAAAGTGAGAGAGGCTTGAAGCTGGGCGCAGAACAAACACCAGGCAGCCACACGCATGGCTCCAGAATGCAAACAACTGTGCCTCCAGTTCCCCTGCATCACGGCAGAAATAACCAGGCCCTCCTTAGCCAGGCAGAGTCTTAGCTGCAGCAGAGCTACAGTGATTACAAAAAATGTCCCTGCCACAAGGCCCTTTGGTGCAGTAGGCAAATTTGCAAAACCCATTTCATCCACCCCGTAGGTGGAAAAACAAACAAAAGAAAGCCAGAAGGGGTCATACAGTTTGTCTCTTAATTTGAAAAAAAGAACACAGGCTCAGAGAAATCCTACTTAACCAGAATGGGGAGGGTGGAGATCAGTTTGATTAACAAACAGGTTAATCATAATAAAGTGAGCAATCAGATTTAACCAGTTTCTAAGTTTCCAGTTAGTGTCACAGAGGTGTTCTGAGATGTTTTGGTTTGGTTTGGTTTTAACAGACACATCATGGAAATATTACAGCATCTTCAACATGAATCTAGGCTCATGAACTTTCAAGATCCAACTTGTCATAACTTAGTCATTAATTTAAGATCATGAACTTTTTTCCGATAGTATTACCATCAATTAAAAACATATACCAAAGAAACCAATTATAATATCCAAAAGAGTGAAACTGTTATAAAAATTTATCTATTTGCCTGGCCTGGGTGGCTCAGCAGTTGAGCATTAACCTATGATTCAGAAAACTATGGTTCGATTCCCTGTCAGGGCAGATGCCCGTGTTGCGGGCTCAATTCCCAGCAGGTGGGGGGGGG